TATTCTCTCTGCCACGGGTGCTCTTTCTTCAGATATCCCCATTAGGGGGTATAGCTCAGTGGTAGAGCATTTGACTGCAGATATCCCCATTAGCCCTACTTAATTTACCTTCTTAAATCATTGTTTAAAATATTATCTTCTCCATGAGGCCTTCTCTCGCCAACTTTTTGAAAGTGGAAACCACTGCTCTGCGCCCCCCCACACACTTCTTATCCCCTTTTCCTGATCTGTATTTCTCCACAGCTTTTATTGCTCTCTGATATGTTACTTGTGTATCTTGTCATGGTTCCCTCTCCCACCACCAAACCCCATGAGGGCAGGGAATTTTTTCTGCTTTGCTCACTGCTACCTGCTGTATCTCCAATGTATACAATAGAACCTAGCATGTAGTGGACATTCAATAAATAAATAGGTGCTGAGTGAATGAACGAATGAATGAATGAATGAATATAATTTGTAACACATGACATTTGTGAGTTCATTGATCGTCTATCTAGTACTTCCCTTAGATCAGAAACTTTTCGAGGTTTCTCTCTACCCCTTTGTGCTCTCATCCAGTTTTTCAACTGTCCCAAAGTTCAGTCCTCCCCTTCAGGTGAGCTGAATGGTTGTTTCACAATCAACATAGGACCTGATTTCCAGATGGCCTATAAAAGGGTTGTAAAATCATGGAACAACTGAGAATTCATCCACACTGTTTGTTTCAAGTGTGGCTAAGAAAAATACCATTTTGGAGAACTGTCTGAAAGATATACAGTCTGACTGGCCCTCTAGAATCTGGATCCCCTAAAATCAGTTTCCGTATCAGGTCAACCCAAGCGAAGAGCAGTTTGCCTGGACTGTATCTAAAAAAAAAATTCTTTTTATTGAATTGCATTTTGACATTACCCTATTTGCCCATATCAAGGGAATATATTTTATAAAAATGCCCTATTCAGTCTGAGATACTCTTTAATACCTAACACAATGTCTTTTTAAGGAGAGAACAATTCTTTTAGGGTTCTACAAGGAATAACTTTTCTTGGCAACTGGATTTGTCTTCCTCCTTGCACTAACTAATGGGTTCACGGGTGGGATTTAGGATCCGTTTCTTGACAAGTATCGAGGTTATTTTGTATATGAAGTCATTGATTCACAGATGCCCTTTCTAAGCCTTTGCCAGCTTGTGTGTTTTCATCCATCCAAGACAAAAATATAAATAACAATGTAAGGTATAATCTCACAAAACTGAATTAGACTATCTCGTATTCTGAAATCACGTGATTCCCACGTTGTAGGTATTAACAAAAGAGTCTTTCTTTTATGAAATGATGGTGAGAGTGGTAGGAGTCTTTGTCGGCTTGTTTTATTTTTGTTTGTGAATGCCTTTACCTGGCAAAAAGAATATGCTGGCTCACTTCTGTCATTTCCTAGTGTTTTGGAAAATTTTACTGGTTCAGAAAATCCAAAGTCTAAGAAACACTGGTTTTCTCCCTTACTCCTAGCTTCATTCAGCCTCACCTATTTTCTCGTCCTTTAGTCCTATTTTCTTGTTCCCTTGTTTTTAAGTTTTTTTTGTTGTTGCCTTGTATGCATTGAAGACACCTTTAAGGGGTGCCTGGCTGGCTCAGTCAATAGAGCATGTGACTCTTGATTTCAGGGTCATGAGTTCCAGCCCCACATTGAGTGTGGAGATTACTTAAAAAATAAATAAAAATCCCAAGGGTTTGGGATGCCTGGGTGGCTCAGTCGGTTAAACATCTGCCTTCAGCTCAGGTCATGATCCTGGGGTCCTGGGATTGAGTCCCTCCATTGGGTTCCCTGCTCAGTGGGGAGCCTGCTGCTGCTTCTCCATCTGTCCGCCCCACCCCCACCTCCGTCATGCTCTCTCTCACTTTCTCAGATAAACTTTTTTTTAATCCCAAAGGTTTTATGAATGTAGAAAAAAAAGACACCTTCAATCATTTCTTGGATGGGGCAGACAGGAAGGAAGGAAGGAAGGAAGGAGGAAGGAAGGAAGGAAGGAAGGGGCTTATACAAAGCAAAGAATCAACCTGTACCTGCTTAGCGTCCCAGCTCCACACTGCACCAAATGCTCTCATTCATCACCACCCTGAATGTTATCTGCAAGTTTACAGTGCTTTGTAATTAATGTGTCTCATTTTACTTAATCCTCTCAGTAGCACTCGGGTGTTATTTTCTACCTTTCCCTCATTGACAGAAAAACTTGGTGGGGGGGAGGGGAAGGGGATTGGAATTTTAACCTAAATATTCTCCCTCCAAGCCTAATTCTTTTCCTCTATACTGTATTACCACCTTTTAAAACTACTGTTTTTGAGGATGGTATCGTGCAGAGGGTTTGTTTTTGCTCTTGTTTTTAAGGAGACATCAGGAGAGTCTGGTTATTTTCTTGGCTTTCAGAATAACCTTCCTTGTTGCAAGGTGTTCTGTAGGAGGGCTGTGCTTCCACAAGGCTGCTCTGGCCCTTTAGCTTGAGGGAGCATCCACTGAACAGAATCAAGTTTCCCTGATCAGCACATATTGAAGAAATGGGCTGCATGGTAGTCTCCTTTTGGTCACTATTTCTATTGCATAATAATTCACATTGTGCAACAGCATAGAGTGAGAGCTCGCTTCATTACTTAGTAATTTCCTTTAACAGTAAAGCTGAGCTAGAGACATTCGGCCCTCTTCTCATTTTCCTGTTGCTAAATATAAAACGTAAGCTGAAGTTCTCCTGTTATTCAAGGGAAAGGAACGTGAGTCTTTGAATTTGAAGCTTAGAGAAAACTTAAGATGAAAAGATTAAGGGGCGCCTGGGTGGCTCAGATGGTTAAGTGTCTGCCTTCGGCTCAGGTCACGATCCCTGGGTCCTGGGATCGAGTCCCGCATCGGGCTCCCTGCTCAGCAGGGAGTCTGCTTCTCCCTCTGACCCTACCCCCTCTTGTGCTCTCTCTCTCTCTCACTCTCTCTCTCTTTCTCAAATAAATAAAATAAAATCTTTAAAAAAAAGATGAAAAGATTAAGAAAAAACTAAGATTTAAAATACCCAGCTTCCTAAACTGGCAGGTATGTACTACAAGTGGCTTAGTAGAATCTTTTGACCAGTAGAGTTTTGTTGATCAGCAGTTCTTTCTACGGGCTTGAGCTAGGCATGGAAGTGATGGAAAGACAGATGAGACATTGTCCCTGTCCTCAACACTGTTAACGCACTTCTAATTCAGGATCAACAAACATTGGCCCATTTAGTAAATATTTCAGCCTTTGCAGGCCATTCGGTCTCTGTTTTGACTTTGAGTTCTGTCACTATAGTGCAAAAGTCACCATAAACAGCACATACACAAATGAGTACAGCTGTGTTTTAGCGACGATGGATGCTGAAGCATAAGTTTCACAAATTTTGGCATGTAATGAAATATTGTTTTATTTTTAAATTTTTTTTCCAATCACTTAAGACATAAAAACGACTTCATCAAACTCAATAGCTTCTGAACAGCAAAGGGAACCAGCAACAAAATGAAAAGGCATGGGAGAAAACATTTGCAAACCACACATCCCATAAGGGTTAATAGATGCTTCGTTAATAACATGAAGTAACAAGATCTGGCCATAGGTCTAATAACAACCATGATTTGAGGTCCTGATAAGTATATATGATATTCTGAGATACCTGTGACAATGGAAATGTGACGTGAAAATCTGTGACTTCTACTGATGACAAATTCATGAGAACTGATCAACTTTTGTGGTTGTGTTGACTGCATTTATAATTGAAGGAAAATCTAAATTTTGATTAGAACTGCTAGAAGTAACTTTCTAAAAAAAAAATCTCTGTATGCTATGCCTAGAGCCACCAGAGAATCTTTGATCTCAGGTTAAGAGGTCCTGAGAAGTCAAGGAGAACTGTGGGCTGGGGAAATCGGACAATGAGAAGACCCTCATCTTTGAGAGCACGTTTTTTTTTTCTTAAAGATTTGTAAATCTTTAAGTAATCTCTACACCCAGTGTGGGGCTCAAATTCACAACCCTGAGACCAAGAGTCGTGCACTCCACCGACTAAGCCAGCCAGGCACCCTGAGAACACAATTGTAATAGGGTTGAGAAGACAGAGGCTAAATTGAAGCGAAGTGACTCAGTAAGGAGAGAGGAATTCTAAGTGCCATTTGCAAGTCTGTCCCTATCCATGCTGCCTATTCTGCTACTCCTTTAAGAGAAGGCTAGAGGGGCGCCTGGGGGGCTCAGTCAGTTCAGTGTCTGCCTTCGGCTCAGGTCATGATCTCAGGACCCCGGGATGGAGCCCCGCATCGGGCTCTCCGTTCAGTGGAGAGTCTGCTTATCCCTCTCCCTCTGCCCTCTCCCCCACTCACGCCCTCTTTCTCTCTCAAATAAATAAATAAATAAAATCTTAAGGAGAGAAGGCTAGACTGGTGTCAGGAACTCTGTCGTGGGGTTTTTATGATACAGTAGCTGCTGCATCATGGGAACCAGGCAAACTAAAAGTGTTTACATAGAATGTTGCCTGTCAACTGGACTTTTCAAGAGTTCTTACTAAAGCATTATTTTGGAAAAGTGGTTTGGAACAGACTTATTCTGCCCTAAGAAGATACCCCAGCTTGTCAAAAGCACTTCCTACTTCTTTAATATCGACTCTACTGGTGGGAACAAGGGTGATTCTTTTTGTCGAACTATTATATTTTTATATTTTTCTAATTATCTACAATAAATGTGCATTATTTTATAATGGGAAAAGCCTAAGTTTTATCTCTGCTCTTTATTTTGGGCTATCTCATCTGTAGGAGCAAGTCAGCCTTGTTCCTGAATATTAAATTAGAATTTGATGAAGACGGAAAGGAAGAAAAGAGGAGAAGATGAAAGGAAAGAGGGAAGGAAGAAAAGAAAGAGACGGGCCACCTGGGTGGCTCAGTTGTTAAGCGTCTGCCTTCGGCTCAGGTCATGCTCCCAGGGTCCTGGGATTGAGCGCCGCATCGGGCTCCCTGCTCGGCGGGAAGCCCGCTTCTCCCTCTCCCTCTCGCCTTGCTTGTGTTCCCCTCTCTCGCTCTTTAAAAAAAAAAAAAAAAGAAAGGAAAGAAGAAAAAGTAAAAAAACTATTAGGTTTCCATGCCATTCCAAGTTACTCAACCTTAACTAGGCCCCAGTACCTTTTGGTAATCCTTTTATTCATCTCTTATCCACTCGCCCTGCAAACACAGGAGTGAGCCTCAACCAAGTCCAGCCAACCCTGCCTAAAGGGTTGCCTTATCTGAGAACTGCCTATCTGAGCCCAGCCCACATGGCCAATCCCACTGGCTGTGCTAAGTAAATGTCTATTGCCTTAAGTCACTCATATGGGGGGGAGGGGTTGGTTCTTACGCAGCAAAAGCTAATTTATACAAGTGAGTAATGTTTTCCAAATGTACGTTTCCTGGCAGTTGTCCCATATTCCACAAGTTCTCCAAGATTAACACACTGTGTGTTAGGATAACACCTACAGATGCTGTCAGAATCCAGAGAGGTTCTTCTGAGTGGCCAGTATTTTCTTAGTGTCTTGTTACCCATCTAGAGCTTCGAAATTCTAGTTATACTGGGCGTGCTACCAAATCACACCTGGACCCAACCTCACCAACTAATCATCACAGTTCACATCTTCCTATAACTCATGACAAGACTCCCTCCACAAATCTGTGTTAAATTCCTCTTTAGTGCTCCAGAACCCCAGGAGCTCCTTTAGGTTTGGATGCTCCTTTGAAGGAAGACCCCATACCCCTCACACCGACCAGCATTAGGTGGCCAAGGATCACTTCCTAGCTTTGTAAATGTAGGCAAATTACTTCACTGACTTCTGTGGCTTCTTAGTGTCCTCATCCATAAGACAGGGATACAAGTAATAGTACTGACCTTACGACGTTGTCAATGGGATAAGCAAATTAGTAAAGGTAAAATACTTAGACCAGAATCTAGTATGTAGTAAAGTATACGATGATCATTATTACTTAGGGTTGCAATTTCTCTTCTTTTCCTTCTTCTCTGGATCACATCAGTCTTCTATCTCTCTAGGGAGAACGGGATGCGAATCTTAGACTATTTCTTTCAGGTGAGGATTAAGCAAACGCCAATCTTTTTGGAGTTCCTCAGGTATTCAGGGATTCTTCAGGAATTCAGCTGTTGTGCTGCTTCAGAAACAGTATAGTGATCGCTGGGGGAAAAAAAAAGGCTTGACATTATTTTCTCTTCTAAATGGCCAAGGTTTTGCCAGGCAAGCTTCTCCAAAGCCAGTAACATTTTTTTTTCAAGTTAAAATTGAACAAGAATGATTTAACAATCTTTCCAAAATTCTTTCAAGCCCTGTGCCCCCCAGATGGCATTTTGCCCTGAGCCGGCAGGGTGTGTGGGACCGGACATCAGGAGTGAGGCAGTCCTGGCCACACGTGGGCTGTGCAGGTGTGAAGAAGGCTCACAATTGAAATGGATATGAGTGCTAGATAAAATATTTTTTAAATAAGTTTTAAAATACAGAGTTGAACTCCAGAGAAAGAAAAAAAAGCTGCCTAGGTGTTGAAAAAGTTTCCTAGGTGAACTGGGAAGAGCAGAAAAGCAGTGGCTGGAGCATCCATGGCCTCGGGGAGGTATGAGACAAATTAGGGCCTCAAGAGCTAGGAGTTGGAGACCTTGGCGCGCACTCTCTCTCTCTCTCTCTCTCTCTCTCCCTCTCTCTCTCTCTCACACACACACACACACACACACACACACACACACACACACACACACGCAAACGCATACACACTTGAAATATGGCCCCGGGGTGAGGGTGATAGAAGGCAGGGAGTTAGAACTGACTCCATTGTTTTTGTCCCCCTCACCCCCCCAAAATTTCTATTTTTTAAAAACTTTTTATTTAAGTAATCTCTACACCCAACATGGGGCTCAAACTCATGACCCTGAGATCAAGAGTCACATGTTCTATGGACTGAGCCAGGCAGGCGCCCCAAGAAAGGTCTACTGGATTCTTTTTTCAAATCTCCTATTCTTATTCATGGTGTCCTATCTTATCCCTTAGTGTCCAAGAAACCTGAAAGGACGGCAAATCTGTGAAAGGGAATTAGAAACAAAGGTACTCCTGGTCCAGAATCAGGGGCACTTGTAGTCTGCTTGACATGCTGGGTGGGGTGGGGGCTGAGGAGACAGGGAGGGGCAGAGGTGAGGAGAGTGAGTTCATGACCAGAAATCACAACTCCAAGCCTGAGTCCCACAGCAGAAGTGTGAATTTATGCTTGCAAATTGGTGCAGGAATCCGAAGCTAATAAAAGTCACATAAAAATTCATCAATAATATTGTTAGAAGAGTTGTGAATATCTTCTCCCAGATTGTATGTTGTCTTTTAACTCTATTTTTTTGAAGATTTTATTTATTTATCTGAGAGAGAGAATGAGTACGAGCAGGGGGAGGGGCAGAGGGAGACGCAGACTCCCTGCTGATTAGGGAGCCCCATGCGGGACTTAATTCCAGGACTCCAGGATCATAACCTAAGCCACCCAGGCACCCCTATACCAAAGTTTTAAATCCTAATGTGGTTGGCTCTTTTGCTTAATGGCTCCAGCTTTTTGTCTGGGTTAAGAACTCCTCCTCTACCCTGATATAATAGAGACATCTCCTACACTTTCTTCTAAAGTGCTTAAAGTGTTCACAATTAGATTTTTAAATCCAACTGCAATTTACTTTTTGAAATGGTTTTGGATACGGTTTGAGGTGAGGATCTCATTTTAGCTTTTCCATTTGGATAGCTAATTGTTCCAGAATTTTTTACCCAAAAGTTCTTTCCCTACAGACTTAGGATGCCATGTTGGTCATATACCAATTTCTTCTACATACATGTGCTTATTTGTTCTTTTCTTCCATTGGTTTGTTTGTCTATCTCTCTGCCAAATTTATTTAATATATATTTATAATAAATTTTAACATTTGGTAGTACCATTCCTCTCTTCTTGTTGTTAAGAATTGGAGAGTCTGAGAATTTATCTCATCTGCAAGTGAACGAGTCAGCCGGTCGCTGTTCCATGGGTGTGAGCAGAAGACTTGAGAGGCTGTTGTGGCAGGAGCAAAGGACTTTATTTCATGCTTACGGTGCAGCAGACCGTGGAAGTTGCATGTCCCCTCAGCTACCCTTGTTTCCAAGTCCCACGTGGGACACAGAAGAGCTGGAACCAAGGCTGCACACATCACACTGAGGAACCCAAGATTAGGAGACCCCAAACTTGGGGCATCTGGTGGGCTCAGTCAGTGGAGCATGCAACTCTTGTTCTCGGCATTGTAAGTTCGAGTCCCACATTAGGTGTAGAGATTACTTAAAAGTAAAATATTTAAAAAAAAAAAAAGGAAACCCTGGACTTGTGAAGGGGGTGCTAGCAAACCTGCCCTTCCCTTAACCCAGAGAGAGACATTTCTTAAATATCCTGTACATCCAACAAATCTGCCCTCTGCCCTGGAGGGAGATATTATCTCTATCTTCCTAAGCTATTTGCTATACAAACACCCTTGAAGACAGTCCAAAAAAAAAAAAAGAAATCAGTGCCTGTGCTTCGATGTGCAGACATGCAAGAGACCAATGGAGCATTGTCCCCCAATATCTATGCTTCTTCAGTATTACTTTGCTTCTTGTGGCCCTTTATTCTTCCACATGAATTTTAAAATCAATTTGTATAGTTGTTTGGATAGACTGCTGTTAGATATAAATTTATCCAAATCATTTAAAAATGTACTCTTAGGGCGCCTGGGTGGCTCAGTAGGTTAAGCGTCTGCCTTCAGCTCAGGTCATGATCCCAGAGTCCTGGGATCGAGTCCTGGATCAGGCTCCCTGCTCCCTGGGGAGTCTGCTTCTCTCCCTCTCTCTCTCTCTCTCTCTCTCTCTCTCTCTCTCTCTCCCTCTGCCCCACCCCCTGGCTCATGCTCTGTCTCTCAAATAAATAAAATCTTTAAAAAAAAAAAACAAAAAACGTACTCTTAAAAACAAACAACAGAAAAATACTCTTTACAACCACATATAAACAATATAACTAATTAGTAACTGTAATTGTAGGCATGCAAAGCAATTAACAGTTAATTTAATTTAATTTATTTATTTGAGAGAGAGAGCATGAGCAGGGTGAGGGGCAGAGGGAGAAGTAGATTCCCTGCTGAGCAGGGAGCCCGATGTGGGACTCGATTCTGGGACTCCAGCATCATGACCTGAGCTGAAGGCAGATGCTTAACCGACTGAGCCACCCAGGTGCCCAGCAATTTACAGTTTAAAGAGAAAGCATGGGGGCACCTGACTGGCTCAGTCAGTGGAGCATGTGACTGTTGATCTCAGGGTTGTAGGTTCGAGCCCCACATTGGGTGTAAAGATTACTTAAAAATAAAATCTCATAAGAATAAAAAAATAGGGGCGCCTGGGTGTCTCAGTTGTTAAGCATCTGCCTTTGGCTCAGGTCATGATCTCAGGGTCCTGGGATCAAGCCCCGCATCGGGCTCCCAGCTTGGCGGGAAGCCTGCTTCTCTCTCTCCCACTCCCCCTGCTTGTGTTCCCTCTCTCACTGTATCTCTCTCTGTCAAATAAATAAAATATTTAAAAAGAAAAAAAATAAAGAGAAACTGGAAATCAACAACAAATTAAAAAGCAAAGAAAATAACAGCAGCAACAATAGCAACAAAACAGAGAACCCCCTGGGATTTTGCAGAAGTAAATACAGAATAGCCTTGTAATCACATTTGTACCAAGTAGGGCACAAGGGACAAAACAAAACAAAAAACAAAAAATAAACTTTTGTTGAAAATAACAAGCACATTCACAAAACACTAGGAAAACATCCACTGCGAGAGACAGTCAATACATACAGCAAACTGAAGAAATATCATTAGAATTTTAGATTATAGTATAAGCTGAAACAAGCATATTAAAATTTATTTTCAAAAACTCAAAAAGCAAAAATGGGAACCAAGAGAATGGAATGGTATAGAATGGAATAATAAAGAAAAGGAAGGTTTTGAAAACTAGATCAAATAGAACTTCTAGGGAAAAAAAACAATTGAAAACTAAAACTCCAAGGAAAGGTTAAATGTCCAATTAGAGAAAGCTAACAGGTTAGTGATCTGGAAGACAGCTCTGAGGAAATGGCTGAGACAGCAACACAGACATAAAGAAATGGAAAACAATACATGTGTTTCTAAAATCATAATGAAACTACAAATCACCAAGCACAAAACAAAGTCTTGCAAGCAATAAATAGTGAGCAAAAGATACTGCCTCACCTCCATGAAGTTCAAGAACAGGCAAAACTAATCTATGATGTTAGCTGTTAGAACAGCGGTTATCTCTGGAGGGTGAGGGAAGGTTCCAGCTGAAAAGGGCACTCAGGTACTCTTTGAGATACCGGATGTGTTTTACACCTTCATGGTTGCATTGTTGTATACATATGTAAGAGGTCACTGAACTGTACACTTAAGATTTTGTGCATTTTCTTGTATGTATATTACACTTCAATAAAAATGCTTTTAAAAAAGTCAGAGAAAAGGGGGAAAAGTTATCTACAAAGGGATTACAGCTAAATTAACAAACAAAAAGTTCCAAAATATAATTCAACAGTGACTTCGAAGTGCCAGGGAAAATATACATCAACTTAGAGTTCTGTACCTTGCAGAACTATTATTAACAAATAAGGCTGACTAAAGATATTTCCAGGTCAAGACTAAAACAACCTCTAAAATATGTGCTTCAGGGGCACCTGGGTGGCGCAGTCAGTGGGTCGTCCAACTCTCCACTCTCAGTTTCAGCTCAGGTAGTGATCTTGGGGTCGTGGGATCCAGCCCCACATTGAACCCCACCTTGCAGGCTCTGCGCTCAGCACAGAGTCTGCTTAAGTTTCTCTCTCCCTCTCCCTCTGCCCCTCCCACACTCAAATAAATAAATAAATCTTTACAAAAAAAAAAAGTAAAATATGTGCTTCAGCAAGAAGGTAGGATACATGACTCATAATAGCAAACAGGTTAGTGAATCTATGTAAGCATTAATTTTCTTTTTTTTTTTTAAAGGTTTATTTATTATTTAAGAGTGAGAATGAGAAATAGAGAGCACGAGAGGGAAGAGGGTCAGAGGGAGAAGCAGACTCCCTGCCGAGCAGGGAGCCCGATGCGGGACTCGATCCTGGGACTCCAGGATGATGACCTGAGCCAAAGGCAGTCGCTTAACCAACTGAGCCACCCAGGCGCCCAAGCATTAATTTTCAATAATAATTATTTTGATAGGTTTTGAAAATTAGGTGGGTTCTACTATAGACATACACACAAAATGTTACATGACAAGGTTATTCACTACTGCATTATTTGAAACAGCACAAATTAGAAACAACCTCAATATTCATCCATACATTGAAATACTATTTGGCCATGAAGATGAATGAAATACATTTTTGAATACCATATAGAATAAATATATTTCTGTATAAGTCAGATTTTTCTGCATTAACAATTACAACATGTCAGTTGGTTATAACAATGAACATGGATTTCTCATACATTCCATCTACAGGGGAAGAATGAATAATTACAAACATTAAAACACTTTCACAGGGGCGCCTGGCTGGCTCCGTTGGTAGAGCATACTACTTTTGATCTTGGGGTTGTGGGTTCAAGCCCCATGTTGGATATAGAGCATACTTAAAAAAAAACAGTTTCACAATTGCTCAGTAAAAAAAAAAAAAAATGCAGAACAGAGTGTACAGTGTCCTACCATTTGGATAAAGGAAGTCAAAACAAAAAAATCCATCACATAATTGTTTTATATACAAGATCTCTAGAAGAATAAACTTGAAACTGGCAAAAGTGATTGCCTTCATGCATAGGAATTGACTGACCAGGAGTCCTGGTAGACAAAACATTTCAATCTCTGTATACCCTTTTATACCTTTGAATTTTCTTCCACTGGAATATATTACCTAAGCAAAAATTAAATTCTCTGTATCATTTGGGTGGTAGACATGTTTAAGGAAATATACATGTTAAGATTTTAAGAGTAACCACACACATGCACACACATGCACACACACACGCACACACACATACATACACAAGGAATTTAATATACAACTAAAATGGCACAGGAAACAAAGAGGTTAAGACAAACTATCTTGAGCCTTTTTAAAAAAAATGAACTTAAGAGCCATGTTTCCTTTTCTGTGAACTATCTTTCCACATCATTTGCTCTTGTCTCTATTAGATTGTTGATCTTTTTTGTTACTGATATCTGGGGGCTCTTTGTACATGAGGGAGAGAAGCCCTTTGTGATAGAAATTGCAAACATTTTTGCCCAGTTTGTCACAGATTTTATTTCACGTGGGCAGCTTTCAATCCTTTCTTTTAACATGAGTCTTAGAAAGGCCTTTCTCACTCTGAGGTTGAAAAAGAATTAATCCCATATTTTCTTCCAACACTTCCCTAGGTCCTGTGTGAGTCTCATTTCCCCAGGCGAACTTTTCTTCTAGGCAAGAGCAGTAGTGGGTACATCGGCATGTCAATCCATGGAGCCTAATGTCTTTTGTGGGATTTCTCCAGTAGTTAATACATTTCTACTGAAAACTTCAGTTTCTCCCTAATCACCCAGGGGTGTCCTGTATGACCTAGACAATTGAAAAATGTTAACAGTGACTTTGAAAAATAATTTGGTTTCATCCCCCTTATAGATAAGGGAATTGAGGTTAGTGATGTTAAGAAGCATCTCACAGTTAGGAAGCAGTGGGGTTGGGATCGAAACTCAGGTTGTTGCTACGGAGTTCATAACCTTAACCCCGGTAGGTTGTAGTAGGTGTAAGATATATTGATTTTTTTTTTTCTCTTTAAAAATTACTGGCGATATCTGGGGAAATGAAGGCAGCAAAAAGATAAGTGATTTTCTAAAACAGACCTACAAACACTAAATGGGGGAATTATGAAACGTAGTTTATAAATCTCATATGTTCATTTATCCAATGACAGTAATACTTAATACTTTGCAATTTATAAAGTGTTCTCACAAAGATCAGATCATGTCACTCTTCCTTCCTTCCTTCCTTCCTTCCTACTAGAGAGAAAGAGAGAGCACACATGCATGTGGGGCTGGGGGTGGAGGGGCACAGGAAGAGAATCTTAAGCAGGCTCCACACCCAGCCGTGAGTCCAACACAGGGCTCAATCTCACGACACTGAGATCATGACCTGAGCCGAAATCAAGAGCCAGGCGCTTAACCGACTGAACCACCCAGGCACCCCTCATGTCACTCTTTCAACAAGGAGATGTTTTAGCTGTTAAAATAGCATTTGTCTTATAGCAGAATGAGAGGGGAAAATAGCATATAGACAATGCTATTCATTGCTGTTATATGAGCAAAGAATTGGAAACAACTTAAATGTCCTTCTTCCAAGGGACTGAAAAGCAGAGGCAGAACAATGTGTCTCTTGTTCTACCGTTTGTCAGCAAACGCATATTTCAACTTTATCCTTTTGAGTTTCTAAATTCAGAAATGGTCTGTTCAATATTTCTTTCATCATTGTGATAGTCAACATTCTCCCACATAAGACATATACTTTGGCCACAAGCTCAGGGTCTGTTTCATCCACAAGATCAGTCCATTCAACTGCAACTATATTTGTCTCTTCTTTTAGGTGTCCACTCATTAGCCTGCCTCTAGCTTGCGTGGTAACTGGCAATTCTCAAAGCAGAACAACCCTTCGATCTTATTTGTGTTATTGATGATAGAGCGCAACATTGGCCAAACTCTGTGACTTCACAGACTGCCTTCAGGATTTTTTTTTTTTTTTTTGTCTTACTTTGTGAGATTGATTTTTGTTGCTTGCTACACAGATGTATACTCCAGGGCAGATTTCATATGGCATCGTACAATTTAACAGCTTTTGGTCCAGCATCCTTTCCACAGAAGCTGCTAAACACAGACTCTCTGAACAGACATAGGACATAGATCCCAAATGAGACCATGCTCATTTAAATCTCTTGCTATCTTATTCACAAAGATGGTGGTTGTAATTTTGGTTGCACAGCAGAGTATACACCATCTGAAGGAAGATTATCATATTTCCTGATTTGTGGTTCCATCCACCATGTGGCTGGTTGACTCAAGGAAAGCCGTCATCAAATCTCTTCTTGGATTCCTACACTCCCTTCACATTGCTCCCTTTCTTTGTTGGTCTTCATAACTCAGTACAAAAATGTAATTTTGTTTTATAACAGGCAAGTAATCTATTAAGAGAAATCACTAAAGGGTGCCTGGCTGACTCAGCTGGTAAATAAAGCATGCAACCCTTGAGTTTGAGCCCTACATAGGGCACAGAGTTTACTCAAAAAAAAAAAAAAAAAAAGAAAGAAAAGAAATTACTAAAATCCTGAAGGTATGACAAATCACTTTCTTTGTGCCAGTGGAGCCCAAGAGAACTGAAGGCAGCACTCTCTCATTAAGACTGACATAAGCTACAAATCCCACCTGAAATTGCTTATCGGTTTCTCCTGCTTCTTCCGTGGGAGACCGGCCTCCACCAGTCTTGTGGCATTCTGTGTGACACTGGATACATTAACTCATCCCTCTTAACTGAACCCTTTTGCCATTTACCTGATTACTTGTGTTATGCAGGGCAGAGCAGGAGTAGGTAAAGTGGCCGGTGATAACCAATCCACGGCACTTGGAAGACCAAGATGGCACCCCCCTCCTCCACTTCTATCAAGTATTCTTGCCAAAAAATCAAGTCTGAATCAGATCATGTCTCTCCATCTTCTGTACCACTTCACAGAAAATGGAAGGCACAGAGAAATATGTTAAATATACCATGAGCAGGCAATTAGTAAAATCCAAAGTGTGGGAAACCCTACAGAACAGATGATTTGGTCATTGGGAACAAACTATAAAAAGGGAGAAAAAAGAGTTCAAGAATTTATAGATTAAAAGATTGAAGAGACCCATCAACCGAATTCAATGAATGAACACTAACTGGAGCCCTGGTTCAAGCAAAGTGTAGAGAAATTGGCAAACTGACCGGATAATTGAGGATATTAAGGAACTGTAAGCATTTGTAGGTATGACAATAATATAGCGATGGGTGTAAATAAGTCCCATCTTTTATGGATACATACTGAAATATTTACAGATGCAAGGACAGGTCTGGGATTTGCTTCAGAATTGTTGCGTAGCAAGATGGGACATGAGGGGGATATGGATGTAAACCGATTGGCTATGAATGGAGGACTGGCTGTGAGTGGAGCTGGGTGATGGATAGTCAGAGATCCACTGTACTATTCTTTTTTTAAAAAGTATTTTAAAGATTTTATTTATTTGAGAGAGAGAGCAGCGCCAGAGAGAGCACGAGCTGGGAGGAGGGGCAGAGGGAGAGGGAGAAGCAGAGTCCTCGCCAAGCAAGGAGCCTGATGCGGGGCTCAGTCCCACCATCCTGGGATCATGACCTGAGCTGCAGGCAGAATCTTAACTGACTGAGTCACGCAGACGCCCCTTGGCTTTATATGTGTTGGAATTCTCCGTAATAAGTTTTTAGAAAAAAGATTAGGTTACAGTCAGACATTAAAGTCACCTAAGATTCTGGGCAGATGTTTGAAGTGAAGGTGCACAGAGTGGATTGGAGGGAGAGCAGCTGGTGAACTGAGTGGGGAAAACGGATGTGGGGCTGAGCTGCACTGAATACAATTTGAGACATCCGAGTAGGAAAGTCTCAGTAGGCAGATGGTAACCTAGGGTTGGAAGCTAGGAAGAGGAAGAGGTCTGGAGTCCTATACTTAGGACAATTACAGCTGTGAGCAGAGAGAACCTTTCAGAATGCACAGAGTCAATGATTACACCTTAGGGAATGAACCACCTTAGGGTTCAGAAGGAAAAGAAAAAAAAAAAAAAAGGAAACCTGCTGAACCAGCAAAGCAGATAATTAGCCCCAGCCTCCACCTAAAGTTTACATTTGTTTTACTCCATTATAGGAGTACTTACCAGACAGATGAGCTGCATTTCACTCTGTAAAAAAAAAGAAAAAAAAAATTTTTTTTAAAGATTTTATTTATCTGACAGCGAGCACAAGCAGGGGGAGTGGCAGGCAGCTGGAAAAGCAGACTCCCCGCTGAGCAGGGAGCCCAAAGCGGGACTCAGTCCCAGGACCCTGGGATCATGACCCGAGCTGAAGGCAGACGCTTAATGGACTGAGCCACCCAGGCATCCCTTAAAATAGTTTTTTTTTCCCGTTACAATCAAATAATTCCGAACAATGTAATTTAAGGACTCAATCAGGCTCATCGTCTCTGAACTGCAACCCCAACTTCCTTCTAGCAGTTTCACAGTGCTATTTTGAAATGGTTTCAAGAGCTATTTAGACCTGGAACTGGCTCTTTGGTCCGAGTACCCAACTGCCTTCTGTACCAAACACTGATGCTGCTTTAACTGGACCCGAACGGGAAGAGACAGAGAAACAGCTCTGTTCTTCCCTGTGTATTTTCAAGGACTGACAGAGGGGAGCCAGGGAGAAAGGAACCTGGCCCCCCAACACTGCTCTCCATCCTGGTGCCCACACGCTCGTGCTGGCGGGGCAGCCGGAGGCTCTCACCTCTCCAGACAGCTAGCTGCCTTTTTCCTCCAGTGAATCCCAGTAGTTACTGCACTCTGCTTATGTGAAGTCAAGGGGAGTGATGGTATCTTCCACTTTCTGTCCCCTGCCTTGAGTGTGACATCTTGCTTTCAGTGGTTGTTCTACACAAATCTGCTTGGAGCAAGGACGGAACGAAGGGACAATGCACAGAAAGGACCTGCAGAGAGCCTCCCAGAGTCAAATTGTTTTGAACACAAATGTTGGGGATTTGGGCGCCTGGGTGGCTCAGTCTGTTGAGCGGCTGACTCTTGATTTCAGCTCAGGTCATGATCTCAGGGTCCTGGGATCAAGCCCCACATCAGGCTCCCTGCTCGGCGGGGAGTCTGCTTCTCCCTCTGCACCTGCACCACCCCCCCTGCGCGTGCTCCCCCCCATCAAAAATAAATAAAATCTTTAAAAAAAGTTAGGGATTTGAATTTGGTCATCTCGAAAAAGATGAGTCCAAAAGAGGGCATCACATTTGGAACAATGTGTGCTTGCCCACAGTTGGGGCAGTCCAGGATAGCAGGACCACTTGTACCACTGTGCGCTGTGCGTGTGTATTTCCCCTGCTAGGCTGACTCTGAGAGCAGGACAGCAGGTTATTACCAGCATCTAGAGAAGTGGCTGGCTCGTATCAGGATTCCAACTGGACTCAGTGAACATATGAACGAATGCACAAATAGGACTTGGTCTTTTTTTTTTTTTTTAAGATTTTATTTATTTATTTGACAGAGACACAGGGAGAGAGGGAACACAAGCAGGGGGAGTGGGAGAGGGAGAAGCAGGCTCTCCACTGAGCAGGGAACCCCCATGTGGGACTTGATCCCAGGACCCTGGGATCATGACCCGAGTCGAAGGCAGACGCTTAATGACTGAGCCACCCAGGCGCCCCGGATTTGGTCGTTTAGAATGAAGAAATTATAAATATGATTTAGATGCCATCCTTTCAAAATCCCTCCAAAGTAGGACATACGTGTTTGTTCCATCACTTAAAGCATTTATTTTATTTTTTTAAGGTTCATTTATTATTATTTTTTAGTAATCTCTACACCCAATGTGGGGCTTGAACCCAAGACCTCAAGATCAAGAGTCACCTGCTTTTCTGATTGAGCCAGCCAGGTGCCCCAAAGCAGTTATTTTTAAAGCCAAGAGTTTCCAATGTCATGAAATAACAACACTTTCCCATGATAGCATGATGATTGAGGTACACTGATGAGATAAACTAAAGGTACTCCCATTTTTTTCTTAAAGAGTAACAGCTGTTATTTCATAGACCACAAAGAAAATACAAAGTTGGCCTGCATTTTCTCCTGCAAGGCAGTCTTTCAGACTAAAAGGGATCTGTTCTTTTGGAACATCAAAAGAAAACGGTTCCAGCTCTCCACGCGAGTAGGACCACCTTCCCCAAGCAGGGGTAGCTCCTAGAAACAGAGGGCGTGGTTGTGGGTGCTCAGTCCTGATCATCCCCCTACTCCCCTGCAAAATATTTCCCAGTACTGCAGACCATGTGGTTCCACCTTGCTTGTCCCTGGTTTCAGCTCACACCCTTCAGGCTGCAAGGACAGGCCAGATATGAACACCAGGCTGCCTACCCCCTCTTTGGTACCAAGTGTTTTTCCCCTGATCTTCAATGTTAGGTCTTGTGATAGGACTAGTTAAGCATTCTGCCAAAGAGAATCGCCAGTGATTTATTGTTGCTGATAATGTCCTTTATGTATTTTCCACATAAGAATGAAATGACCTCAGAGATCATTTAGCAAAATCTTTCAATTTAAAAACTGACAAAATTATCACCTAAAGCTCATGGTCTACATGAGGGGTCACTCTTGGTGTTGTACATTCTATGGATTTGGACAAATGTATACTGACATGTATTCACCATTATAGTATCCTATAGAGTATTTTCACTTTCCTAAAAATCCTCTGTGCTCCACCTATTCACAGCTTTCCGCCCTGCGCCGCTCCCCACCCCCCCCCATCCTTGGCAAACAATGATCTTTTGTCTCCACAGCTTGGGTGATATGTCAATGTAGGTTCATCTGTTATAACAAAGGTACCACTTCTGGTGGGGATGTTGATCATGGGAGAGGCTACTACTGTGGGGGAGCAGGGAGGATATAGGATATTTCTATACCTTCCTCTCATTTTTGCTGTGAGCCTAGAACTGCTCTTAAAAAAAAAAAGGTCTTTTAAAAGAATAACAAAATTGAGACTTTGAGAAGTTAAGTGACTTGACCAAGGTCACAAAGATGGTTCACAGCAGACCATGATTAGAACCCAGGGGTCTTATGTTGCAAGCTTTATGCACCACACACTATGCTACCTGCCATCCCATAAAAACACACAAAAAAATATTCAGTGAGCATACATGGTGTGCTATTTCTTAGAACTACAAGTGATAAACAGAGTTAGGGGATCTCCTCCAGGTCCGACTGAATCACCTGCTCACATGAATGGCAGAAAAGTGCCGGTATGTCCTATAGTTCATATCTGGGGTATGTTTTTAGCAGCCCCCCTCCAAAAAAAAAAAAAAAACCACACACATCCCCCAGCACCTCTATACTTTAGTTGGTGTTGTGCTCTATGCTTGGGAGCCCTTCTCCTTCATCTTCAGCAGCTACTCACCCCCAAAGGCGAAGCAGTCATTCATCTCTCTTCCGTGAGGTTTTCTCTGGGTAGGATGGATCCCTCTCTCATACTTCTGAACCTCAGTACTTTGCAGATAACTCCATTAGAGAATTTGTAAGCATTCCAGTTACTCACTAGCCCTCCAGTTAGACTGTGAGCATCATCACAGCATGGTGGATCACCACCACCTTTCTATTTCCAGTAACAAACTGGGGCATAGTTTATATGCTCCAAAATCTGCAGAGAGGATACAGATCTGACATTTCTTATTTCTAGAGTACACTTTGAGACTAGAAAACATCATAAAACAAAAATACATACAGCTTCTCCAATGAAGCAGCTGACAGAATATATCGAATATTATAGATTTAAGTTCTCTGAAACGGGGGCACCTGGGTGGCTCAGTTGGTTAAGCATCTGCCTTCAGCTCAGGTCATGATCCCAGTGTCCTGGGATCAAGTACCCAGTTGGGCTCCCTGCTCAGCGGGGAGCCTGCTTCTCCCTCTGCCCACCCCCATTCTTGTGCTCGCTCTCGCTCTCCCTCTCTCTCAAATAAATAAAATCTTAAAAAAAAAAAGCGTAACACTTTGGAAGATTCTCTGAAAGGGCACAAGCTATGTATCACTAAGATATAAAAACACTTTTTCCCTTTACTTTAGAAAAATGATTGCCAATGAGATTGTAATTTTTCACTGTTCTGAAACTGCTAGTAACCATCTAGGTTAATAATAGTAACAACAGGCAATCATTTGCTTGAAAAATAGAAAAACCACATAAAATACATAAAGTACATAAAGAACAGTGTGGTCCTGACTCATGGGTACTCAAAGGGAGTCATTTTGGATGGTTTTAAGGCCACTGGTTATGAGGAGGTGAGGAGGCACAGGTTAAATACAAATCTGGAAAAGGAAATCTAATGGTTTTATTTCATTTTATTTTAAAGATTTTATTTATTTATTTATTTGTCAGAGAGAGAGAGAGAGAGCGAACACAAGCAGAGGGAGCAGCAGAAGGAGAGGGAGAAACAGGCTTCCTGCTGAGCAAGGAGCCCAATGCAGGACTTGATCCCAGGATTCTGGGATCACGACCTGAGCCGAAGGCAGACGCCCAAACAACTGAGCGACCCAGGTGTCCCAACCTAATGGTTTTAGATTATAATCACATATGAACAAGGCAAAAAACCCAAATCAGGTATATAGTTAATGTTTATAGTCCTTGCTGCCTCTGTTCCAAAAATTACATGAACTTGTTACCAAAGCAAACAACTGTACAATAAAGTACTTTGCAGTTTCAAATAGTCAATTTTTTAATTCAAGCTTTAAAAAGATAAATGTTAATGCACTGAACAAAGATGGTTAGGCTGTTTTTTCCTAGCATATATACAATGTATAATGATGTATTATTAGAACTAAAAAGTTTTAGGTCAAAAAATGTATCTTTTTAAAGTATCTTTTGGGCCACTTTATAGATTCTTGTAAATTCCTCCACTTTAGGTTCCCTAAACATGAACACGGCATTTGATTTGTTTATATATTTTACCTTAAAACAACTGATAGAATGTAAACATACATATACCTAAAAAGTGGCTATCCTATATAACATGACAGCCCAGAATTTAGGAACTGTATAGGCTTTCTGGCGATTTCAATTATGCATAAAAAGAATCATAGAGGAGACACATTTGTTATTTATTCTAATTAAAGCATATTAATTACAATATGTTATTGTAAAGAAAGTTAGCTATTTTTAAAATTTTCATTTTTGAATTCAGATAATGCCCAGGCTCCACCATTTAATAGGAATGTTGGTTTGTTAGGTTTGTCCATCTTTTCTTTATTCATCTTAAAGGTCAAAAATAGAACCATAAGAAATGTAGGTCTATTAAAAAATATATAAATACTTGTAGCGATTGTTTAAGTCATTTGGTCCTCAAAAACACTGCTTAATTGTAATTATGCCCAAGGCTGGAATATTTTACTCTGCCTTTGGTTGCAGGTTGTACTTTTGTGGCTGGAAAAAATGTTCTTCAATAGCACTGACTAGTTCATTTAGTTCCTTCTTCAGCTGCTCGGGATCACTGAAAAATAAGGGGGAAAATTCCAGATCAGTGGATTATTCCAAAGCATATTTGAAGTTCTCCCCACATTGGTCAAGTAACATTGAAATGCACCCTTAAGAGGAGGGTTAAATCAGACAAAACAGAACCTCAGTGACTGAAGCATGGGAACACATCTGTTGACTTGGACAAAAAAAACCCCATGAGACAATATCCATTCTTTCGCCCAAGGTTTTACTAGGGTCTCTACTATAAACAAATAAGAATTTTTTTATTATTATGTTATGTTAATCAGCATACATTACATCATTAGTTTTTGATGTAGTGTTCCATGATTCATTGTTTGTGTATAACACCCAGTGCTCCATGCAGAATGTGCCCTCTTTAATACCCATCACCAGGCTAACCCATCCCTCCACCCCCCTCCCCTCTAGAACCCTCAGTTTGTTTCTCAGAGTCCATAGTCTCTCATGGTTTGTCTCCCCCTCCGACTCCCCCCCTTCATTCTTCCCCTCCTGCTATCTTCTTTTTTTTTAAATATAATGTATTATTTGTTTCAGAGGTACAGATCTGTGATTCAACAGTCTTACACAATTCACAGCCCTCACCATAGCACATACCCTCCCCAATGTCTATCACCCAGCCACCCCATCCGTCCCACCCCCACCACTCCAGCAACCCTCAGTTTGTTTCCTGAGATTAAGAATTCCTCATATCAGTGAGGTCATATGATACATGTCTTTCTCTGATTGACTTATTTCGCTCAGCATAATACCCTCCAGTTCCATCCACGCCGTTGAAAATGGCAAGATCTCATTCCTTTTGATGGCTGCATAATATTCCATTGTATATATATACCACATCTTCTTTATCCATTCATCTGTCGATGGACATCTTGGCTCTTTCCACAGTTTGGCTATTGTGGACATTGCTGCTATAAACATTGGGGTGCACGTGCCCCTTTGGATCCCTACATTTGTATCTTTGGGGTAAATACCCAGTAGTGCAATTGCTGGATCATATGGTAGCTCTATTTTCAACTTTTTGAGGAACCTCCATACTGTTTTCCAGAGTGGTTGCACCAGCTTGCATTCCCACCAACAGTGTAGGAGGGTTCCCCTTTCTCCACATCCCCGCCAACATCTGTCGTTTCCTGACTTGTTAACTTTAGCCATTCTGACTGGTGTGAGGGGATATCTCATTGAGGTTTTGATTTGGATTTCCCTGATGCCGAGCTAAACAAGAATTTTTTTTAAGGATTTTATTTATTTATTTGAGAGAGAATGAGAGATAGAGAGCACGAGAGGGAAGAGGGTCAGAGGGAGAAGCAGACTCCCTGCCAAGCAGGAAGCCCGATGTGGGACTGGATCCCGGGACTCCAGGATCATGACCTGAGCCGAAGGCAGTCGCTTAACCAACTGAGCCACCCAGGCGCCCAACAGATAAGAATTTTTAAGAAACAGTTTTTTGCTCTAGCATCCCCTAAAAGATCTGCAATGTTTGTACCTAAAAGAGCAAAGAAAACTTTGATGACTTCAGTTGTCATTCGATCCTGCTAAACTTCTACAAATGACATCTCTGTTAAGTTCTTGATCTCCCAGGACAGGAATGTTCCCTATCCCAAACTACTGGAAGCTAAACAGCAGCAGGTCTGCAAGGCCTTCCTAGAAGGTACAGAGAATGGGAGCCTCCTAGTGGGCCTGCTAATCACACACCAGGAACTGAGTCCCCCCACCCCCATTTTTTTATCTTTTTTATTCTAACTCCAGAACAAAAGGGTCATGACTTAAGTATACACAACAATCTAGGGAGCTAGTTTCCTCTAAGGAAATCAAATTTTCAAGCATATGAAAAACATTCATTTAAATGCAAACAACTGGAAGGTAGGAAAAGATAAAACGAATTTGTGTTTAGACAGGCTCCTAGCAGTTCATGTTAGCGTCAGGTTACTAGCGCTGGGTGTTTACTCTTAAGTACTTGAAACCAAAAAGCTGAATTTAAAAAGCTAAATCCTTCAGTTCCAACTTGCATGACTTCATATTGACTGTCTTCAATATATGTAACTTTATTTTAATGAAAAACGAAATTCTTGTAATGAGTTAAGATCATTTTTACATTGTAATCGCTCCCCAGTACAACTAAAACAATCCATTTTATTGCAGGCATTAATTCTGGCTCTTCTACCAGCCCTATGCCCTCGGGTAAGTGGCTTCGCCTCTCCAAGGCCCAGATTTCTCATTTGTAAAATTGGGATAAAGACTTTATTTTCTCAAGAGAGTTGCTGTGTAGATTGAGATAAATTATATAAAGCAATTAGCACAGAACCTGGCCCCAAAACCTCAATAAATGTAGCTATCATTAAAATTATGTTTACCCCCACTGGTGACATATAAAGTATGCTTCATAAATACATATGAATCACATGGGTCGTTATTTCCTTTTCCATAAATGTGTTTTGAAGACAATACTTCTCAGGAAGGCACATACCTAATACTTACTGTTTGTTTTTTTTTAACAATATGCCTAAAGTGAATATACAAATATAAACATATAAACATATATATCTTCTACTGGTTTTGTTTGTTAGAACCTTGCTTGATAATAATTGGTATCTAAACCCTGAGATAGTAACAGAATGTCCTTGTTCTTGGGAATTGTGTATTGAGGTTTGCAACTTATTTTCAGGTGGCTCAGGGAAAAAAACAAACAAAATCAAACCTGCATATACAATACATGGTGAGCAAATATTGCAAATGTTAGCAATTGCTGAGTCTAGGTTAAAGTGGGCTAACTATGGCTGGCAGCTTGCTGACAGCCCATTTTTGTAAATAAAGATTTACTGGAATATAGTCACACCTATTCCTTTATGTGTAAGACTTCTTTCTGCTTTTGAGCAATAGCAGAGGGGAGTAGTGTGACCATATGGCTTGCAAATTCTAAAATGTTTACTATCTGGCTCTTTACACAAAAAGTTCTGTCAAATAAATAAATAAAATCTTAAAAAAAAAAAAAAGTTCGCCAACCCTTGGTCTAAGTGAAAGGTATGTGGGTATTCACTGAAATTTTCTAAAATACAAAGTTGGACAAAAGACATCTACTGATTTGATTCCCATCTTTTTAAAAGCAGGACTTAGGGAGCCTGGGTGGCTCAGTTGGTTAAGCGGCTGCCTTCGGCTCAGGTCATGATCCTGGAGTCCCTGGATCGAGTCCCGCATCGGGCTCCCTGCTCAGCAGGGAGTCTGCTTCTCCCTCTGACCCTCCCCCCTCTCATGTGCTCTCTCTCTCTCTCTCTCTCTCAAATAGATAAATAAAATCTTAAAAAAAAAATAAAAGCAGGACTTAAATTTGAAAAGGATTTTCTGTTCTAAAGGATAAGTGGGTCATGGAATTCT